TTGGACTCGATGATCTTAGAGGTCTTTTCCAACCTTAGTGATTCTATGATTCTATTCCAAATACGAAATTAGAGGAATGAACAACACAGGTGGAGGGAGAGGATATAGTAGAGTAATATACTTGCATCAAAGTATAGTTCTATTTTGTCTCCTTAGTACCGCTAACAACTTTTCATGCATCCAGGAGGTGTACTTGCTATGTGCGGGAGTTGGGGGGCCTCTGACTGAGGGAAGTGTGTCAGGAGGGCAACCTCTTTTCTCTCAAATAATCATTAGATAAGAAGTGCAAGAACCACCATGTTGAAGTTGTGGTTCTTTAGTGTGTGATATTTGGTAGATGGGGGCTATACATGGCATCTTGTAGTGGTAGAAGGTGAATACAAAATAGGATTTTTTTTAATATGGATTTGATCTAACTGCAGAGGAAACATTGCTTGGATGTATGTTTAGCATTTTTGATGTTTTTTGTCTTTCATGCCAGCTCTATGTGGCCACTGAAGCCATCCTCATCGCATTGGTGGGCGCAACTCCTCCCTACCACTGGGATCTCCAAGAGCTCTCGGCTAATCAGAGCCATAGCAACCAGTCAGCGAGTGAACAGAGAGCTTTTGGGGAATGGCTTCTGACCGCCAATGGCAGCGAGGTGCATAAACATGTGCACTTCAGCAGCAGCTTCACATCAATAGTCTCTGAGGTAAGTCTGAAATGTGTTTCACTGCCTCGTGTGTCAGTAGTAAATCTTATTGGGTCAGTGGCGGGGGGCTGGTTGTACTGCTTCTTTCTTCCATGCTAATGCATGTTTTGATTAGCAAACAAAACAGGTGTTACCTCCAGGTAGAGAACAGGTAATCTATTCATATCTTTACTGGCAATGAGAACTAGCTTTATTTAGCTATGCAGACCTTGACCAAAGTTCTGCTCCAAAACATCCTACCTCTTCCATGTGGAAGTTATGTATTGGATCCTGTAGCCTGGTTCCACAATTGAGCTAGAATTATGTCATTCATTGTACTAATGTGCTCAAAATCCTTTATGGACCGTGAGCTCTTTCTGGCCATCTCTTGTGATTCCCTTGCGAAGGTCAAATGCGTGTAGTGCATCCATCATGCAGGTAGCAAGCAGTGGAAGAACTGGAGAGGAAGTGGCTTCTGCAGCCTTTGCAACTCCAGATATGAGGGAAAGCAAGAGCAGTGGGGAGTCAGGTGGACAAAAAGCAACTCCCCCTGTTCTATCCCAAAACAAGCTGTAGCTTTATTGGTGTGGCCTCTGTATTTTCTAAGTGTCTTCTTTCATGGTCTAGCCACAGTCCCTACAGAAATTATTCCAGACTCTGTACTGATGTGTGCAACACCTGCCCTTCTGGAGGCTTTCAGTATCTGTTAATGTCAAATTGTTCTGTGCAAGAGCCCTATCCGAGTGTGTCTGTTACAAGACCTGAATTTAGAGCTATACAGTTGAGTCAAGTGTAGTGCCACTTGATAATTCATGGCTATTGTCCAGAGGCATTAATGCTATCTGAATTAGACCTGTAAAGCACTTTATTGGTTATAAGCATATTAATAAAAACTGCCAGCTTTGGAATGGTACCAAGCAGCTGTGTACAACAGGCATTGCTTCTTATCTGGTAATAAAGAGAATAGGAGTACTTATGACACTATTTAAATTGAAATCCTAATGGACGGTGGATGTTTTTAAGCATTATTTAAAACTCAGTAAGGTTTTCAAACTTTCTCTGGGCTTTTTCTTTTTTGCTTTTTAATTTATCCAAGAATCTCTTATTCTGAAACTTGACAAGTCAGACATGTTTGTAGAGCCTAGCAGTGTTTTAGGACATAAATTTTATCAAGATTCTTACGCATTTTAGTTGCATGGTAAAGAACGAAGTTTACTTGAAAAATACAAAATTAAAAAAAAAAATCCCAAGGCACCTTGTGTAGATTCTGCATTCTGCTTTGAAGTTCTTTAACACACTTCTCAGTAAAGGCCCATGTGTATAAAATCTTGTTGCCTCTCCCATTTCCCACTGTTAAAATACAGTTTTTTTCAAAATTTCTTAGCTGAATGTGTGGTATATTTGGAAGTTATGTGCTAAATCAAAGATTTTAGTGATATCACACTTATTTGGGGAATATATATTGCTATCCGATTTCATTACTGATCTGTAAAGAAGCTTTTTTTTTACATTTGAGTATGTTTTTCATGCTTATCTTGTCATCACTTACTAATAACATGACCATTACGAATTTACACTGAAAAATATTCTGATATAAAAAACTTGATTTATGAATATCAGGCATATATATAATGTGCTTTAAGTAGAAGAGAAAAGCCTTTAAAGGGCTTCTTAGCTGTTGAGATTAGTTTGCAGAACAAATTTTGCTTCACAACCAAATTATCCCTTAATCCCTGAATGATTCAGAAAGCATCTAATGTCACTGAGTTTCAGTGTTGGCAGCTTTTTTTAATTTTTATACCAAAAGTTAGGGCATGATTCTTACAGCTCTTATAAAACAAACTGACCATGTTATTTCAAGATAAAATTAATCTCATATGCTATTATTGTATAAATGTATTTTTCTTGGAATTGTTTTTAAAGTCTAGAGAAGCTTCAAAAGCTGATTGGTGGTCACATGGATCACAAAATTGAATTTTGTTGGTCTTGACACTTTATGGGCACATTACCTACTATATCAGTAAACACCTCACCATTAAAGCGACGATTCAAAATGAAGCATATACTGAGAGTGAGCAAGTTATTTTCTTGGAGCTTCTGAACGATTTTGTTTTGTTAGCTCCCTAATCTTGGTGAGGTTTAATTGCATGGCTCTGTTCTCATGGTAAGGTAGTTTATAACTGAGCTTTGAAATAATATGAGTTTTGCTAGAAAGGATCTCTAATGGGGTTTTGGTAGAGGAAGAGAAGATTATGAGGAGAAGATTAGAGTGTTATTGCAGGGATAATGACATAATCACCAGCTTACCAGCACAGGAAGAGAAGTTGGGTGTCGCTAAGAGGAAACATTATCTCAAGATGCAAGAGGAGTAGAAAAAGAACACAAGATGCGGGGTTTTTAGAATACAAAGGGAAATTAACTTTTGAACAGCGAGAGCATGGCATATTTTCATTCTATGGTTTTGTGGGAGAAAGAATTTCCTGTCAGGTTCAACCTGAGATATTAAGTCTGTAAGAATCATATGAAGATCAGGTTTGTATTTGGAATTGAGAAGAATTGGAAATGACACAAAATAGACTGTAAAAAAGATGAGTATTTGCAATACTAGAAAACCTGTCTAATGCTACCAAAGTGTTTCCTGGTGACAAGACAGTTCACAAGGAGGAGCGTATGCAGGAATGTCTTTGGACATAAAAAAGAATTTCTGTTATTGCATAGTATGCCTACACACTGCAGTGACACATCTCAAGAGGTAGGACTGAGTCTATTTAAGCTAATAGATTTATGTGAGTAAAGGCAATAAAAGGGAGAATGGGAGAAGACTGCAAAAATTACAGTATTCTGAGTGATCTGTCCTTGATTTCAGAATCAGACTGCACATGATTTGGGGGAACTGTGCAATTGGTTAGTACCGTCCAGTGAGTCTGGGAAACAGCAGTTGTGTTTTGGTGACTCTCTGATGACTGACTGAATGTGATGCTTAGGAGATTTATGCAAAGTTTGATCTTCCTTAAAGTATGTGTCATCCCCCTCCAACTATTAGCTGTTGGTGAACTGCTTGGATTCTGGTTAATCCTCCTTTATTTTTTTCTCCTTTTTTTTTTCCCCCTCCATCCAGTGGTTTTTAATTGGCAACACATCGTACAAAGTCAGTGCTGCCAGTTCTTTCTACTTCAGTGGTGTGTTTGTTGGAGCAATCTCCTTTGGCCAGCTCTCAGATCGCTTTGGGAGGAAGAAAGTCTATCTCACAGGTAACCACTGCCACCTAACAAAATGAATGAAGTGGAGGTGTTGTGTCTCTGAAGATCAGTGACGAGCCCAGTTTCTGCTGAGAGCTTGATATGCAGCAGTGAATGTGCTGTGATTTTTTTGTCCTTCCAGTATACTTCAGGAATATACGCAGGGGCAAGAAATTAATGTTTGACTGTTCAATCAAGGTGTTCTGGATATAGGAATCATACCATAAGGGCTTACACTTTTGCATGTCATGGTCATGGGATCTCCACAGGTTGCAATTAATATTTCTAGTAATTTGTTAGCAATGTTCTTATATGTATAACCTGCTAGGAATTTGTTGCACCTTTTGTCTCCTGACTGCATGATTTAATTTTTATGTATTTGTGATCCTCATTGTGTTTTAAAGCTCATAAGCTTTTTTACTGTCCCCAGATCAAACAACATTTGGAACTTCATGTTTTGTGTATGTATTTATAAAGTTGTGTGTCAATGGATGAGCATGTAGAATTAAAAAACAAATTTTTTTTTTTAAGTAACAACCTCACTCAAAGCAGATAAAGGTGGGCCTGCTATGCGGTGCAAATTCCCCTTGTACTGTCCCCTGGTAACGTTTCTCTTCTCTAGTTCGTATGGACTGCTTTCCAAGAATAAGGCAGATACTTGGTCATGTATTTAATTTGTGGCTTCTGTATGGGGATAAATATCAAGGCGTCTACTGTCTGGCTCCAGTTAAGTTCTGAGTATGTGGAAAAAATTGTCTGCTGTGAACTGAATTTGAAGGTTTAGTACTGCAAATTATGTATCAGAAACCACTCCTTTTGTTTCCCCCCTTTTATGATATTGATTTTAGGTACTTAAGTAGCTGCTCAAACCTGTGGTATGTAGCAGTGTGTTGTAGTTGTTGACTGTGATTACTTAAGACATGCTGCTGAACATCAAGTAAAGATACTTATAAATGCTTCTGTTTTTCTTTAGGTACTCTTCTGAAATGAAACCTTTTGCCTTGTTTTCCAGGTTTTGCCCTGGACATCTTGTTTGCCATTGCAAATGGATTCTCACCCTCATACGAATTCTTTGCCATCTCTCGCTTCTTGGTAGGGATGATGAATGGTGGGATGTCACTGGTGGCCTTTGTTCTACTGAATGAGTGTGTGGGTACTGCCTACTGGGCATTAGCAGGTAAAGTTTGAGTGTCAGTGTCTTTATTGTCAGAATTTACAGATTTCAGTCTCACACACCACTTGAGACACACCAAAGCTAACACCATAGCAGTTGCAAATTTAACTCTGCTTGAGGATCCGTGTGACCACAGTCTTTGAGCCCTGCTTTGTTTAATATGAACCTTAAGACAAGCACAGTAGATGACTTGGGGCCATTCAGATTTCTGCATCACTCAAGTTAACAAAGATCCAGTTGAAACATCCCCTGTGAATGTTACACAGCTAAATACTCACCCAAGGTTCGTGATAGCTGAGCTCTATCCATCAGAATTTTGGACTCCGCTAAACAGAGCTTAGTGTTTGTATGCTAAATATCAATTCTTTCATTCCTGGCAGTTCTCAAAGAGAAATCAGAAGTGTTTTTATATAATGGGAAGATGAGACAACTGTTGTTTATATCTAAAAAAAAAAGTTGTCCCATGTGGTAATCAAACTTAGAACTTAGAACAAAGGATAGACACCCTTAACTGTCTTGGTTGCTAGTCTTGAAGCTGTCCTTCAGATATGATGTGCATAAATTGTACTGTTACAACTCTGGGGCCTGACTTACACAGTCTGTGACAAGTGCCAAAGAAGTGCTATGCTGAGACTGTTTTAAAACAGAATTATCTTACAAATCATGAGCGCTACAAATGAATACTATATATTCCTAAAAATACCAATTTTCCAATGGTTTGTAGTATTTATTTTTACACATAGAAGGCTGAAACATACTTATATTTGGAATTACAAGACTTAATTGTTTATGGGGTTTGTTGGGTGAGGAGGACGTAGAATGGTGCTTTTTGGACTTGTACTGATCTTTGCAATTAGATGTAATACTGTTGCCCTGTGTGGGTGAAGGACAGAATGTTCTTTGGTCAAATAGCTGTGGTTTTGCCTGTATTGCTGAGTGAATTTTTCTTAATGAAGTGTTAGTTTCTGTCTGATCCCATGTGTTTAGAGTTAACGTTCCTTAAAGGAGTGATAATGTTTTGGTTTTATTGTATATTAGGATCTATTGGTGGCTTGTTCTTTGCTGTGGGAATTGCCCAGTATGCTTTATTAGGCTACTTCATTCGTTCCTGGAGGACTTTGGCTGTTGTGGTTAACCTGGAAGGAACAGTCGTCTTTCTTCTCTCTCTGTAAGTTATTTTTCAAACTGAGTTTCATCAAGAAAGATGTCAAAAATAAGAACACACACACACCACCACCACCACCCCCCAAAAAAAACCCCAAACAAATAAAAAACAACCAACAAACCAAACAACTAAGTCCAAGGTGCTTTTCTAGGATGGTGTGAAATGGTGTAACTAAGGTATTTCTCTCAACCTCTGCGACCCCATGTTTTGTGCTTTCTTTAAATAGCAGTGCTGCAGTATTTGAAAATATAAGTGTACATTGTATTGCATATGCATTGTTACTGTAGATGGGAACAGTCTCTAGAGTGGTGTAGAAGCACATCCTATTCTTTAACTGGTATGTAGATGATCTAAAGTCTTGTCTGGTATAAAAAAACCCAACAAATAAAAAACAACCAACAAACCAAACAACTAAGTCCAAGGTGCTTTTCTAGGATGGTGTGAAATGGTGTAACTAAGGTATTTCTCTCAACCTCTGCGACCCCATGTTTTGTGCTTTCTTTAAATAGCAGTGCTGCAGTATTTGAAAATATAAGTGTACATTGTATTGCATATGCATTGTTACTGTAGATGGGAACAGTCTCTAGAGTGGTGTAGAAGCACATCCTATTCTTTAACTGGTATGTAGATGATCTAAAGTCTTGTCTGGTATGCTACAAGACACTGTATATGCATGTTAAAAGATACAGAAATGTTTTTGTGGTTATGTGATAACATGATGTTTCTCTTGCTGTGCTTACACAGAAGAAACAGCATTAAAATTGCTTGCACATACAGTCTTAAAGGTGACATGCTAAAGAAAAAAATAGGCAGCTTCCTTTTATTTTTCAAATGTAATTAGGAAAGAATAGGAAGAAGGCTTCTTTATTAAGATAGTAGGAGTTTTGTGTTTGTGGACTTCAGCACTGAAAGCTGAATGATGCAGTGTGCTGCTCTTTTCTTTTATACTTCCTGACAGCAAAATCTCAGTAACTTGAAAGCAGCAAATAACTTCAGTTGCTGTTTAAACTTAAGGCTCTTTTCCTTCCAACATCTATTTAACTTCAGTAACTAACTTTTTGAATAAAGCTCTCTTGCTAAAGAGTCAACACACCCTTTCAAAGGAAGCATCAGAACTCAAGGAGAGGTCTTAGAGGCTGTTTATGAGGTGAGAAGCAGAGATGACACTTCTGATATTTCAAAACTTAGTGTTGTTTGGGGCCTTTGGAAAAAATTTTTAACTTTCAGATTGATATGTACAATTTTTTGAAGTGCTTTATGCTTGGGACTTCAGGGCTGTGCTGAGAGGCCTATCTTACTGTAATAAAGGATTTTTTTATTCCAAACTTCACACTGCCTTCCTCCCACATCGCTTAAAAATTACTCTGTGCAGAAAATGATATCGGATTTTTTTTTATCATGGGGAAGAAAACATGTTCCTTTCTAAGCTCTTTTCTTTTATAAAACCACAGAATCATTTTCCTTCAAATTTAAAGGAAAAATGTCACTTCTGGTCAGAGGCAAAAATCTTTAAAAGTTTCTGGCAAAAAACTAAAGTTTAAATTAGTTTTGGGAATCTGAAAGTAATAGAAGATTTGTTTTGTAGGCTGTGTTGGGGTTATAGACCTATCAAGTGAACAGTGTACATGGGGAGCAAGAACATGATCTTTGCAGTGCCTCTGCCTTCCTGTCTACAGGAGAGAATTTAGGAAAAAGTTGGAAAATGAGGAACAGAAGACAACTAGTTAGTGTTACTACAAGTAATCACAGGATGTTTTTGTAATGTGGTGCCTCCTTAATTCTGAATTATCCTAAGAGAGTCCTAATGATACTGTAATTTGTAGTATTGTGTGTATATATGTATATACTCAACGTAATTTCTTGGTATCTAAATTACATATGACTTATGTTTCCTTTCCTTTCAACATGCTTTGTCTCTGTTTCAATAAGTGAATTCTATACCTGAAGGGTTGTTTGAAAAATTCTTCGTTATACTGAAACGTATTTCAGTCTTATTTCCATAGACAAGTCCAGCCTCGTAGAAGAGAAAAGCCCTAAAGCTGTCTGTGTATGTATGTGTGTTTCAGATTCATTCCAGAGTCCCCTCGCTGGCTCTATTCACAAGGCCGGCTGAATGAAGCAGAAGATGCCCTCTACCTCATTGCGAAGAGGAACCGCAAGCAGAAGTGCACTTTCTCATTAAAACTCCCAGCAGAGAGAAGCTCCAGAGAGGCTGGCAGCTTCTTGGATCTGTTCCGATATAAGATTCTCTTGGGACGTACCTTGATCATGATGTTTACTTGGTACTTGAAATACTTCATAGGCCTAGCTGTGCTACTGTTGCCTCTTTAAGTCTTTCAGAGAACGTGTTGCTGAGAATTGGCTTATCCTGCAGATTGTACTTGGTCTCAGCCTGTATTATTAGGGACATTGTACCTAAAAAGGATCGTTGTATTATAGTATTTCCTTAGTGCATTTCTAACATGAAGATATTTTTACAATCTAGTTCTGAGGTGTTTTATCTTTGCATTTCTGTCACGTTTTTTGAGTCTCAAAATAGTCGAGAACTCTCTCTTCCTTTCTGACCCTCAAAGACTGCTGAGATTAGTCATGCTGTCCTCCTTCTTTGGCCCAGTGCTATGTGTGAGTACTTTCAGTCACACGGATTACTGTTTTGTGTGTAAGGAGCCCATTAGCAGGTGGGTGGCCTACCTTGTCTAATGAGTATTTATTTTCTTAAGAGAAAGTGCTGCCAGTGCTAGCAGCTGCTGTAGTAAGGAGCAGGAACCCATGATGGGAACAGGGAACAGGAACTATCTCTAGTCACTAGCAGAAACTTAACTCTCCAAAAGTGCCTATTTTGTTTCAGATAGCTCGGCTAGCCCTGAGGTCTTTTGCTGCCACTTTGAAATAAATGTTGTATATGACATGGTATGTGAGTCCTCTGGCATTACTGTTCATACAGTTGCTTTTATTTTTGGGGAAGATGTATTGATTAAGGGAAAAAAATAAATGGCATTATTTTGTCAGCAGACAACACAGAGCTGTGTTCCTGTTGCTTTTCCAAATGCTTACTGCAGAATAGTTGATTTTTCTGTTCCTTAAATGAGAATTGCTGATTTCTGGCAGAATGAATTAGTGACCTGTTCCTTTCTTCTCTGTAAAGACGACAGCCAGTCAGGGTTACAAAAGAAAAGTAAAAAATCAGAACTGGAGAATGAATAAAAATGGACTAGGGTGTAGAAATTAAAAGAAGGCAGAAGTGTCATCTGAACTGTTTGAGAAAGGGTTTACACACAATTGGAAAAGTATGGACTAAAGTGAAACCTGATAAAAACAAAAAGGACAAAGACATCACTTCTCAAATCAAATAATATAATCATGATCATATTTTAACTTTATTCTGGTTTACGCATATTCTTCCTAAGTGTAGTCTTAAGTTTAACTGAGTAATAAGTCAGGAATTGGGTCTGTGCAGAGACAAAATGGTTTCTTTACCTAGAAAGCATCGTACACTTGCAGAGAAACATTTTAGACCTATCTTCTGAAACATTAAATATAGTTTATAGTGTATTGTGCCAGACCAGTGCTTTGATTTGGCAGGCAGCTCTGATTTTACTCTTCCGTCTTTTGCAGGTTTGTGTGCAGCTTGGTTTACTATGGTCTTACCCTTAATGTGGGTGACTTAGGTGGAAGTATTTATGCCAATTTAGCCCTTTCAGGGTTGATAGAAATCCCAGCATACCCAATCTGTATTTACTTGATTAACCAAAAATGGTAAGTATGAAATTTATTAACCCATTCAGTGTTTCGTTTTGTTATAATTTTTCTGTGATAGATTTCCTGTATATTGCATCTCCTAGCTTGTATCTGTTGTGTGGGACTTCTGCTTCAGTGTTACTACTTCATTATATTCTCCTGGGAAATGCATTTTTATTTGAAAGTGTCATTGATATATCTTTATTTCAAATAACAACAGTTTAACTTGTTCTGAGTAGCTTGCTTATTAATGAGCAGTCTAAATTTGGCTCAGAGGTGAGGCTGATCTGTATCAGTCGAACCTAGCTGTGCTGACTCCATGCTAACACAAGATGGCATTCTTCCCACCTCTGTCTTGTAGTCCGCATTCTCACTGTTATGTCAAAGCTATTGCAAGTAAACTCAACCGAAGCTGTTGTGTGGTTTTGTGTAATAGCTGCTGTGTGCACTAGTATGCGAGCAGAGCTGTTGATTCAGATATTTAGCCTTTTCCTGAGCCATGATACTCTGGACAATGTCTTTCACTTTTTGTAGAATTCACCTCCCAATCTCTTCTCTACATGTCTCCTGAGGAGTTTTACAAACGTGCACACACAGTGGGAAGCAAATCAAAATCCTAGAAATTGTCAGCCACTGCATAAAGACTTCTTGATGTTCATTTTGTTAAGAGTGCAGTAGAAGCTTGCTTAAAAACAATGTGAGAGGAAGTGTTTGAGAGATGGCATTCAGAATTTCCAACTGCAAGTAAAGAGGCAACGTGAATTTAGAGGACTCATTGCTCTGCAAACTACAGATCTAATGCAGAATAAAGCTTTGTTATCCTTGCACATCAGGTTTGGTCGGAAGCGAACACTGAGTGCATTTCTGTTCCTGGGAGGATTGGCTTGTCTTATTGTCATGTTTCTTCCTAAAAAGAAAGGTAAATATTTCCTTTTGTTTCTGGAGTATGTGATAAGAAGTTGTAAACACAGCATCCTACAGCCTAAGAATTTGGTGGTTGCCAGTAGATTAGGCTCATACCACATGTGAGTCTCAATTTTTGAAGCCAGAGAAGCTAACTCGCAAAAAGGGTAAGCAGCAACCTTCCGAAGACCTTAAGGAAGGCTTGTTAGAAAGGCTTGGATTTGAACGTTTGTCTTTGGATTCTGCCCTTTACTTCTGATCACATCAGTCACTCCTTTCCAGTGTTTCTGACTTAATCCCAAAGAATGATGTTTCTTGGGGTATCTCCATTAGCCAAATGATAGGTCAGTGTAATTAGTACCCATGCAACTTGCATGTATCGCTCCAAGTGAAAGACCAATGTCAAAAGATCCTAAGAATTGAATCTTGGCAAGTTTCTATCTTTTCCACACTATTCTGTAATGTTCAAGGCTGGTGTGATTGTGGTATTAGTAATGTGGCCACATAACTTACAGTTCAGAAAGCATTCTGAAAATTGTCTGAAGCAAGGGGTCTTTAAGAAATGTGAAATGAAATGTATTTTTTGTAAAGACACACTAATGTTAGTTTCTTCATTTTCAGATGTTTTTCAAAATTATAGAAACAAAATTGCACAGTGAGCAATTTTTCCTTTGAAAACTAGGTACATAAATTCATCTCAAGCTTGTAAGATTTGTGCATGTATAACACCTGTCATAAGGAGAAAAAACACTTGAAACATTTGAAGCATGATTCAAAAAGATTAAACACTTATGATGAGAGTATGCATAAGTTGCTCTAGATGGCAATGAATCTAATAGGTAGAACTTTTTTAAAGGGGTGCAACTGAAGCTTCCAGAAGTATTCCAGATGCTAGAGCCCAGACACTGAGATACTCTGGTTAGGCTGGTATCAGTCATCAAGTAGTGTTTGCATATCAGTCCAAGTATAACATGTGAAAAGAAAGAGATTTTCAGAGGATAGAACTGTGAGACCCCAGGAAATCAGCTGTGTGCTGAACTGCCGAAGTCAGCCAAGAGCAAAGTACTTTTAGGAAGTGAAATGTCTAACTGGCCAGAAGCAAGCACCTGTCTCTACTGAGTGTGACTTGTTCAAAGCAGTAACGGCTTATGCTGTAGCCTTCCTTGGTAGGCATTTAATGTGTGTTCTGATTTGCCTGGTATAAGTGAATAAGCACTGGCCGTAACAAAACTGAGCTGGATGGGATATTTGGTATAGTTCTTTACAGCACCTTCCTGTCTTTTGTTTTTCTTCCAAAGTAATAATGTTAGAAGCATGTTATCATACTATGGAATTGACACTGAATAGGGCTCTTGTTACTAAAAAAAACCTTGCTCACTTTTGAAAAATGTATTCATTACTATTTTCTTCAACTTATTGACAGAACTAGTTTAGTATTTTATTAGTGGTAGACTCAGAATGTTGAGTTTTAGTTTCAGCTTTTACTATGTTTATAGGATTTTTACCTTACATTTCTAAAACGATGTTCTAGTAGAGCCTTAATGCAGGATTTTAACACTTTAAAGATGTCACTTATTGTAACACTGAGGACAAGGAAAGGAAACTCAAGTTTCTCTTTTTTTTAATTAAGCAATAGTTCCATTTTGTAGTCTCTGGGACTGTTCAGTCATTTAACCCAGTCTTTTTCTATTGGACTATATTTAATAGAATGGAAACAATTTTGGGCTAGTAGCAAATCTGCCATCAATTTAAAATCCATTTTCAGTTATTTTTTCAGCGTGTTATATGGAGAGTTTTCCTCTGTAAAAAATTTGATTGCACAGATAAAGGTAATAAATCTGTAGACACAGAATATAAATTATGTTGGATGATTTTAGCCATTGCTGTCAAAAAGAAGGCTCCTTGGATTCTCTTGAGTTTTGAGTTCTCCTAAAGGTACAGATCACCTCTGACAAATACTGTCCTTTAATAGAAAAACGCTTGGCTGTCATAGGAGATTCTTTAGTAGATTCCTCTTCACTCCATACTGTTGTGTGATTGAAATGATTATGGAGATGTATTTGAGTGCTCAAAAGCCTTACAAGGGTCATATTTTCTCTATCAGATACTGGAGTGTTTGCAGTGGTGAATAGTCGCTCTCTGTCTTTGCTGGGGAAACTGACAATCAGTGCTGCATTTAACATTGTCTACATCTATACATCGGAACTTTATCCCACAGTGATCAGGTAACACAAGTTAATTTTAAGGTCTTCATTTTTCTGGTTCTCTTATCTGATCATCTCTTACTTCTCTATTACTTTTTTCTGTTAACTATATGTTTTCATTTGAGATTTTCAGTTACATATAATGATTATTTGTAGTTTTACATGCTAAATTTCTTCCCTTATCCTCTTCTCACTTCCTATTCCCTCAAATTTGCAGTGTTCTCTTCAGACTAACCATATTCTTTATATAACAGTAAAATAGTCCTTTGGCTGCTTGGTATGCTCACAGCCGTCTCTACTAATGAGGATAACAGTAGTATTGCTGATATTTCTTTAATGAGTGATATCTAACTTTTTCAGTGCTTTATAAACCAGACAACTCTTAAACATTCATACTTGCTTAACCAGCAACACTGAAGATGACTGGTCAATAAGCTTTGTAAAAGTAACTTGGTGCTTCATAGGCCATACGTAAGCAACAGTAAGGGTTCACTCACTAGAGGTGGAAGTACCCGTGCTTGTGCTGATAGAGCAGACAAAAGTGTCTATCATATGGGTGCAATTTTTACTAGATATTTTAACAGCTATTACTGTTGATGATCAGTCACCAGTGAAACTATACTGTGGTGTTTTTCATGGGTAGGCAAATCTGCTGATAAATAGGATTTGGATAAAGGAATTTAGCCAAAGTTTCAGGCAGAGACAAGATTGCATTAACTGAAATGGCATTTTTGCCTCTATGTATATGTATGTTAGAATTCTGAACGTGCAGGGGATTTTTGCTTCTCTTTAAGCATTCTGGTTTAATTCCTGTCTTGGGATGCTTTCAGTTACATTTGAATTTTCTTTGCCAGTTAATGTTTTCAGGGTCATGACTGAGATTTTTTTCCTTATTCAGTGGCACTTTTCAAAAGTCATAATTTCTTCTATGTAAATGTCGCTGATTAATGATTTTTGTTTTCTTAGGAATGTTGGAATGGGTGCCTGCTCCATGTTTTCCCGTGTTGGTGGAATCATTGCTCCTTTCATCCCTTCACTGGTTTGTCTGAACTTCTCACTGTTACGTATATTTTTGTTTTGTGGCTCTGATGTATCAGAGGCTTACAGAGGTGGGAATACTTTGGATACATTATGTATATAAACTAAGATATGTAAATTGCATGTCTTAACAGTATTGTGGTAGGCCAAAGGCATTGCGATATAATCTTTGTAATTAGACAAAAACTCAGCGTTATTTAGTTCAGAAGGTGCTTTAGCCCTGTAAGAATTTTGGGACTTAGCTAGTGGACTTTAGCAATATAGTAACTTCAGAATACCAAGATGATGACACCCAATTTTAAACCCTAAGCAAGCAATAGCAAAAAAACCTACAGTTAAAAGATCTACTGCACCAAGATAAAGCATATGGGCTCATTAGTTCAGAAGGTGCTTTAGCCCTGTAAGAATTTTGGGACTTAGCTAGTGGACTTTAGCAATATAGTAACTTCAGAATACCAAGATGATGACACCCAATTTTAAACCCTAAGCAAGCAATAGCAAAAAAACCTACAGTTAAAAGATCTACTGCACCAAGATAAAGCATATGGGCTCATTAGTTCAGAAGGTGCTTTAGCCCTGTAAGAATTTTGGGACTTAGCTAGTGGACTTTAGCAATATAGTAATTTCAAAATACCAAGATGGTGATACCCAATTTTAAAGCCTAAGGGAGCAATAGCAAAAAACCCACATCGTTAAAAGATCTGCTGCACCAAGATAAAGCATATGGGCTCATTAGTTCAGAAGGTGCTTTAGCCCTGTAAGAATTTTGGGACTTAGCTAGTGGACTTTAGCAATATAGTAATTTCAAAATACCAAGATGGTGATACCCAATTTTAAAGCCTAAGGGAGCAATAGCAAAAAACCCACATCGTTAAAAGATCTGCTGCACCAAGATAAAGCATATGGGCTCATTAGTTCAGAAGGTGCTTTAGCCCTGTAAGAATTTTGGGACTTAGCTAGTGGACTTTAGCAATATAGTAATTTCAAAATACCAAGATGGTGATACCCAATTTTAAAGCCTAAGGGAGCAATAGCAAAAAACCCACATCGTTAAAAGATCTGCTGCACCAAGATAAAGCATATGGGCTCATTAGTTCAGAAGGTGCTTTAGCCCTGTAAGAATTTTGGGACTTAGCTAGTGGACTTTAGCAATATAGTAATTTCAAAATACCAAGATGGTGATACCCAATTTTAAAGCCTAAGGGAGCAATAGCAAAAAACCCACATCGTTAAAAGATCTGCTGCACCAAGATAAAGCATATGGGCTCAATAACTCATATTTCTGAGAATGAATTAGTTTTACTGTCAGTACACTTCATTGAATATCCATGGATTGTAATTATCAGCAGTGGTTTATCTTTCAATGAGTGAAGATGATGTGGAGACCTGATATACTGGCAAGGCTTTTGAGCACAAACTTCACAGCAGTCTGTCAAGGCAAAGAAAAATTCTGAAGAACAAAACATGGGGATGATACCGTTATTCTCCTCTATGTTCATAGTCTTATGCGTATGCAGGTAAAAGTGTGCCAGTTTTTCACACAAACTGCTTGCTGAGGTCAAGTGACAATTCCTTTAATGTGATGGATTTCATCTGGAATAACTTTCCTTTCTGCCATTTGCCATCTTGTTATGTCAGGCAGAGGGCTAGCAAAAGGGCAGATGAGCACAATGAGCCTTTTAATCTGCAGAATGAAACATTGGGTAGGTGAGAGTGCGAGTGCCTCCAGGGTACAATAGGTACAGGGTACAAGACTGGTGCAGGTGTCCCAGGTAGATTTAATAGGCAGCTTTTATGTAGCAGTTGGGGCATCATTATGTTGTATCTAAGCAGAGATTTGGCAATGCAGGAGACACAAATCTTGGATCATCATGTTTGAAGGGGTCCCATGAAAGTGAAAATAGCTCAGTTTAAATAACAAATGAACATGGATTTGAGGAAAGAATTAAGTATTTTTGTTTTGGAATTTCTTCAACTATTGTAATGCATTTTCAGTATCTTTTGTCTGGGGATCTTATAAAAAGGGTGGGAATGGGAAAAGTGAATTGCTGAGATAAGAGATGAAATGTTGCTCTTGTATTTGATCACAGCCTGTTACTTTCTCAATTTAGAACTCTTCACAAAGTGAGTTTTTGAAACAAACAGCTAAACTCTTGCCTCTTTTTAAATGAGCTTGCTTTACTGGTCATCTGAAAGTGAATGTACATGTTTTGGAGCTATATTGTAGATGACTCATATTTTTGCACACACCTTTCCCCAGTGTAGTTTTGCTTGTAACAAGCCATGTGAAAACAGGGACAGGCATCAAAGGAGGAGTATAAACATTGCTTAGGCTGTCAGGGGTGATGACAGGAAGGCTAAAGCTCAGTTGAAGCTAAAACTAGCAAGGAGCATAAATAGGGATTCCATCAGCTAAAGGAAACTCAGAGAAAATGTTTAGTCCATTATTGAATGGGATGGACATCCTATAGGTGTATGAGATGGAATAAGCTGAAATACTTAACACTTTTGCTTTAGTCTTCATAGGCAAAAAGCCTGACCCTAAGACTGCGCATATCAGCATAGCTGAGGAAGCAGAGGGCCAGCAAACAGTGGAGGAGCAATAGGTTTAAGAACACTTAAAGCTGAAAGCTTTCCGTTCCATGGGGTAGGATTCCCTAAGAGGTAGTGAAAGAGCTGGCTGTGGTAGTGTGGCAAGTGTCCATCATCTGTGATAAACCATTGTTGTAAAGAAAGGTCACTGATAACAGTGGAAAAGAAAAAAAAAAAGCTAATGCTATGTGTGTTTTTAAGATCAGAAAGTGGACCCAGGGAGTTACAGGCTGAGCAGCTCAAACTCAGTCTCTGGGAAGATCATGGCACGTGACCTCTCAGTGTCTGTTTCTGAGCATGTGAAGGCCAAGAAGGTAATCAGGATCAGTGAACATGGGTTTACTAAGGAGAATTCATTCTCAGCCAGTTTGATTTAATAGTCAACCATTTCATCACAGAAGGTAATATGGATGAGGAAATGGAGGAGAGCAGGAAAGGCTTTTGTAAGGCTTTTGACACTGTCCTACAGCATTCTTGTTTGGCAGCTGAGGAAGTGTGTTCTGGATGAAAGGAATATTAGATTTGAATGTTGCATGGACCACCAGGCTCAAAGGGATAGTGACAGGCTCTGTATTTGGTGGCTGGTGACAAGTGGAAGATAAGACAGAATACATCCTCATATTTTTAGAGGATGCAAAATAAGGACGAGTGATTGACACACCAAATGGTAGATCTCGAGTCCAGTGGGACCTTTTGGGCCAACGGAAATCCCATGAAGGCCAACAGGAAGAATAAAATTCTGTTTCTGGTGCGGGCTAATTACATGGTCAGTACAGGCTGGGAACCAACTGGCTGAGTAGCAGCTTTGCTCGAAGAGACCCAGGTACGACAATGGATGACAAGTTAAATGGGAGCTAGCAGTATCCTCTCATCACAAACAGGCAAACTTCACACTGAGCTGTATCAAGCCCAATTCAGTATGTGGCCCACAGATTAAGTTCCCTTCCAGTTCTAGAGGGATGTTGAAAAATGTGGGGAGGGTAACTAAGATGGTCAGGGGCCTAGAGTACATGGCTTCACATGAAAGCTTGAGTGAATATTGCACCTTTGATCTTCCCAGCAGCATGGAACAGTTCAGCAGGGGTCAATGGCCACAAGTTTTGGCTTGGGGGTTAGATAGGGAATTTGGAAAATACTCTTTGAGAGGCTTAATGTAGCCCTGGCACAGTCTTCTCAGGGGGGGAATCTCAATCCTTTGGGTTTTTTCAATACTTGGTTACACAAAGCTATGATTGACCTGGTCTAATGTTGGCTGTAGTTGTGCTTAGAGGAGGTGGTTGGCCTAGATGACCTCAAGAGATCTCTTCCAACCAGCATGTCTGTGATTCTGTGATATCTCTTCCCTACTACAAAGTGATGTTGCGTTTGTTAAAAAGTACATGTGTTGTGGACAAGAATTGACTATAAATTCAGCAGGCATTTCTTTTAAAGTCCGTCCCAAAATCTGTGTGGATCTAATAGTATTGATAAGATACAATTGACAATATTGTTTAAAAAAACCCAGTAGGATTGGTAACTTATGCTAAACATGAACACTTGCCAGATGGAACGGTTGTAAAGGTTAAGCGCTTTAATATGTGGTATGAACTAGAGGGAACCAATCTCAACCTAACTCTCTCCGTTCTTTTTTCCAGAAATCTGTACAGTGGTCTCTGCCTTACATTGTGTTTGGAGCAACTGGCCTTTTGTCTGGGCTCTTAAGTTTGTTGTTGCCAGAGACCTTAAACAGCCCTTTGCTAGAAACTATTTCAGACCTGCAGGTATGCTCGTACTGGAGGCTGGGTGATGAAGCCATGTCATTGCAAGCCCTAGATGGCTCACAGGTATATTCATTTTTTCCTAGTACTTTTCTGTTGTATTTATTTCAGCTGTCAGCTTGAATATGCCACTCTAAATAGATTAGGATAGTGATTCTTGGCCTGTGAAAGATAGGCCCCAAGGAGATACAGAAGATAGTTTACCAACCTTACCATCACATCTGAAATGTTGTCTGGAAATGCAAGCTGAAACATAGCTGGGTTAATTCATCCCTTCAAGGCCAAAAGCTTAGTCTTTTCCTTTGGGATAAAGGACTTGGTGGTGTCTGTGCCTCTCTAATCTCTAAGACTGATTTGCTGCAGCATGCTTCATGCAAAGCTGGCCACTGAAGTTTGAGAAGGCTTAGATGATAAAGAAAACAGAAGCCTGTTTGTGAAGGGCTGTTCTCAAAGGCAGCACACTGTACTTCTGCCCTGACCTGCACTGGCTGTTCTGCAAGGTCAATTATTAGGTCTATCCTAGAGAGTCTTTAAATGGGTAAAGCTAGACTAACCTCTGAGATCTGTTCCACTGTTGATTCTGGGAAATGAGATTCGTTGCAAACGTTGGAACTACAAAACTCCCAGGTATAAGCATAAATAGATGTGGTAGCAGGATGTTTTTCAGTGAGGTTTCCTCAAATGTTGTTTTTTCATATCACTTTATATTTCATTTTGTCAAACTCCTGGACACCTCTTGAGGTGTGTACATCTTCCAGTCGTGTGGAGGATTTTTTACATGGCTGCTACTCTGTGAATGGAGTGGGATTGGAGAGAAGTAGCTAGAGAGCTGGAAGTGGGTGTTTGAATTTGGGTAAGGTTTTAATGTTTAAAACCTAGTCCCAAAATTTTAAGTATCGATGGACTAATAAAATTTGATTAAGTGGTCAGAAGACTTGAAGGGCAACTCATAACAAAAAATGTTAGTTGTCCCATTAGGCTGAGGCGAGGCAGGATCCTTATAACATCTTTTACTTTCAATTGATTAGTTTTTGGTCAAGCAGTCTGAGATTCACAGGTAGTCATAAACTTATTTTCACAGAAACCAGGAGGAAGAGTAACATTTATTTCTAGAATGAGAACAGTTGCTTCCTTTTAAAAGCTTCAAGATGTTGCCTTGTTTACCAATTTTAGCTGTAATAATCCTTGACAGGACAGCACAGTTTAGTGACGAAAGCACCCTTGAAGAAAGCTTGAAAGAGGCAGCCCTGCAACAATTAATTTTATACTTTAGCTACTTTACGTGCACATTTTATAAAGACTTTTAACCATACTGGATAATTGTGTTATGACACCGCATTCTTGCTGGCTACACAAATCCATCATGGTATTTTGGTAATTACATCATTATTACATCCTAACTGTGCAGATGGCTTACTAACAAAAAACAATTCTAGCAAACAGTGCAGGTGTTACAACTTAAAGGGGGGGAAAGTCACATTTTTATTTTCCTTTCTAACCAAGTAAGGGGTCAGTATTGCCCTTTGGGGTGACAGGTATTGTCTGTCTATTGCTATTTGCACAACTTGGTTCACTTATGTCAAGCAGTCTTCTCAGGCTTAAATCTTCCCTGCTTGCACTTCTGCAGGCTTCTCAAAAATCCCAACCTGAACAGGAGTCATAAGATCCACAAAAGAAGAAAAAAAAAAAAAAAAAAAGAGAACGTTCTTCAGGAACACTTTTCCCCAGATGGATTAAAATTACTGAATCCAAATGAAAAAAAAGTTGTTGGTTCAGGCCTGAAGTAATCCTGTAACTTCAGTGAAGTTATATCTGGAATGTCTGTGACACATTAGGGGTTTATTTTAAAGCTCACAAAGAAAGCCCTGATAAAATGAAAAGCTGTTAAACATTAACCCTATTTGACAAGGCCATGGAGAGGTCTTATGAAGCTGCTGTAAAAAAAGATGTAGAATTTGTTTGGCATACCCTGAATTCCCCCTGTGGAATCCATTGTCCTTTTGTACCACTTTCAGGGTAACATGCATTCTGGTTGCCCAGAATGGAGGTTTTGATCCTGTTAACATACATGAATGATACTCAAGTTGGACAGCATCCAGTGATGGCCTGACTTTCCTCAAATAACTTTAGAAATCCAGAAAAAAGCATAACATGATTCCCTTTATATCTTCTGACAGGTCTTAGTGCTCAAACTGTTTGAAATTCCTTTGCAGTTAACGCACATTGCTGTAGCAAAACTCCTCTGAAGACAGATCTAAAGCTACAGATTTTGCTTGCATGGTACTGTCAGTCAGGAACATGATTTCCATTTCTCTGTTTTTCACCCTCTCTCTCGCCCTTCTTCACATATGACTAGGCAGGCAGAAGTCTTAGGGTGGATGCAAGCACACTGGAAAAAAATTCCTAAATACCCAAACTAGATGGAGTTTATACTAGCAAGGGAATCTTTTTAACTGGAATAATTTGTATCGGTTCCGTGGAAAAATGCTACACTGGCCAAATAAAAATCAATTAGCTGTAATAGCTGACTTTAGTTCAGGTATATGGTAAATTGTTAAAAGGACTCTGGCTGTAGTAGGTATGCCTATAATAGGGAGTTGACTTTCTGAACATACAAAGTGGTAGTGTTTTTTGCCTTTTCCATAACACCTTTAGTTAGTATTGCAGGGGGATCTTTTTAATTAAAAACTTGCATAGGAGAATGCCCATGCTACACATGGAGAAGTAATAATTTGGGATGGAGAAGCTTTTACCTAATCAAGTAATCTCTGTGTTCTGGGCCTCTGTTTCCAGTAGCTCACCACAGAGTAGGGACTTTAGACTTAATATAAGCTGAGTAAATTATCACTTCAGAACCATTCTAGCCAATCTCTCTCCTGCACGTGTTCTCTGGTGTACTGACAGAGCAGAGAAAGTCCACCCACTAGAAGCCCATTTCTTTTAAAGAGATTTTGAAGAACCAAGGACACAAAGAAATCTTAATTCACATAATGTGTCTTACAAAGTTTTAATACAGTCATTTGACCTGTCTTCTCTTCCTTTTTCTCTACCGGCATTCAAACTGAGGTGTAATGGTTCATGCTTAAGTATTTTGAGATTGATTTAGTAGCTTCTGCGCTAACCAATTACTTCATTTTTGTTTCTAGTCTGGAGACAAAGACAGTTCTGCAGGGAGTGGAAGTGAAGATGAGGAGTTTTATGATGCTGATGAAGAGACTCATATGATCAAGTAATGAAAAGAAGAAACACTGGCCTATTTTATGCCTTTCCTTACTTGTCCAGTCAGTCCAGCTGTAAGACGAGTACAGGGGACCTCGCCTGTCAGGGAGTATAACTGGGCAAGTGCCTGTGTTTTTCCTGACGAGAAGAGGGGTTTGAGTACTCTTCAGACTAATTACACCACTGATGCTCTCCATACGAGACAGCCGTTCAAATTCTTGTGGTTCAGAATGACAGCACACGGACAGCGTTTGAAGGTCGGTGAGACAGCAAGGGTATTTCTGAATCGTGTATTTCTGAAGCCTAGGAAATTAGCTAGGCTTAGACAGATTTGGACAGATCATCAATGCACATGTTTGTATTTTATTTTCAAGGTGGTTGATTTTTGATTCAGTATAAATTGATAAACTTGAAAACATCCACTGGTTTTTTTTCTGTAGAGTGAAAGTGGTCACAAATATGCTCTGTGCTACTCCAATGGGAACAAATTCCTGAAACTGTATGTTAAAATGACTACTGCATATTGAATAGGGGAGAGGCAATGATGAACATAAGGTTTCTCTCTCTGCACACAGACACCTGTATAGAGTTACAGGGTGCAGCTGGTTAGTCATGAGCTGTGCACTAACTTAGTCGTAATGGAAGGCCAGGAGGAAGGACTACAGAAAAGACCAACCATAAAGCCTGCAGACATACAGAACACTATTGATTTTTTTTTTCCTTCTTTTCATCCACCAAGCATTTCTTGGGCTATCTTATGCATACATTTGCCACGTGTTCCCCACATCTCAGCACTGCTGTTTATAGCTTTGCTTTTACCTTGTCCTCACTTTGCCATAAATATTGAAGCTCAGCAACTTCTCTGTGCAGTGAAATAATTCTGTGAAGAATATAATTTCATGGGTGGGACGTAGGTGAGGTATTTATCACATACTGTGTGTGAGGTCTGTGTTAGAATATATAGCTCATTTTTGTGGACCTATCTGTGTCTTTATTTCTGGAAGAAACTTAACTCTGAAGTGGTAAGAGTAACAATGGGTTGCTGTTACATTTTGGGGATTATTGCCAGGAGGCTGCTAGTATTTATTTAAAATTCTTGTATGTAGATAAAGCTCACATTTTAAAAAAAAAAAAGGGGCAAACCTCTGAGACAGCATTTGGTTACTTGACGTTGTTTCTTAACTAGGTGCTTGTTCAAGCACTTGGTTACTTGACCTTGTTGAGGAAGACAACTTCAGTCTCCTGTTTACACTGAACTTTCTGCAAGTGCTTCATTAGAGGGATATGGAATCTTGAAATATGAAACATGAACATATGAAATGTTCTAACTACAAAGATGAGGCCTTAAAGGATTCAGTTTTCTTGATTATATTGTCATCTTCATCCTCTAACCTGTGACTTTCTATTTATTAAGATTGATTTCCATAAAATGTTTGTTAGTCTTTATACTTGGAGCTCCTAGCAAAGTGCCGCACAATGGCAGCAAGTATATTGTCAGGCTCGCTAGCTATTTTTGTGGATGTTAGACTAAAAAAACTGGATTAAAAAAAAATCGAAAAGCTGACTGCTGAATATTTTCTGATTAAACTGGGAAGCTCCTTTACTCTGAAAGGAGGTGAAAGTAAACAGCATCTGAAGTTTGCAGCTAGGTGCTTGAACTTTGTTCACTGGGAACTCTAATGCTGAGCAAAGTGCAACTACCCTGGTTGGTGCAGAGGACAGCCCAGAGACTGCAGATTCATGCATGCCGTACTCCCACTTGGCCTGAACTTGATCCAGGCATTGACTGTGAGCAAAGTTGGGAACTTCAGTCCCTATGGACAATGTGTCGGTATTATTGTGATTTCTGCCTGTGTTATGAGCTTCGCTAGAAGAATTCCAGCCTGCAGTCTTCACTTTGTTTTTTTCCAAGCTATTGAATAGTTGTTGTAGATGTGGCAGGGCACTTGTAAACCCAGCTGGATAGGCTTTCTGCCATATTTGGCCCTTTTGTATGCAAGAAGATTGCTCCAAATAAGGTACTCAGAAATACTTGGAAAGGTTGAATCTATTGTTCAAAGAATTTTTTAGTTTTGCATTCACAGTTTGAATTATGGACAGCTGGAAAAATGTCTTTTTGTCTTGTTGCTGATGGCTTCTAAATAAATAAAACCTGCTTACTTAGAAGCCAACAGTGGTAAGCCTGGTGGTATTAACATGCTGCCAAGACCCAACAGTTTTTTAGGTGTTTGCTGCTTCTGTCCCTCTTTGGGTGGCAGGTGGAGTTAGTCACCTGAGAGGCAGACTGGAACTGTTAGCCTTCCTCCCTCCATAGTTTTACTGTCATTATCTGCTACTGGCAACGCTGGTCATGTCACGGGACACCTCAAGATAATTTTCATTAGAACAGTAGGATGCTGTAATTGTTCAGGTGGAGGAGATCACGCTTTGCAGGACCTGAGCTGGATTTTGTGACAGTCCTCAACTTATAATTGAACTTACCCCTCCACTCATGCACTTTTATATTGTAAATATACATATGTAAAATTGCAAAAACAAGAGTGAAGAAAACATCAGCAATTTTTTTCCATAAAAGCTGCTGCTATTTTTTTAACCTTAAATCTGTCCCACGTTTGCATCTTTGGAATTTTAAAGGGCAGCATCTTTCTTGTGTCAACCATAGGAAGTCTCTATTGTTACTTTCCCTGGCCTGTTAATTCAGAAGTTTTATAGGAGGGAATCCTTCCAGGAGGAGCTCAGCAATGTAGTATCAGACTTCTTACAATTACTTGCTCTCCCCCTTTGTATTCTGAAGTCCAAATCTGTTAGGTACATTAAGTTTCTTTTCAGAGAGGTTTGTTTTATAAGAACTGGCCTTCTGGTACAGAAACTTGTAGGATCACTTTTTTTCTTACCCACAGAGTGCAATGTTTTATAATATTGAGATACTTGTGCTATATGAAGCATTCACTGGGGAGAGATGCTGCATAGTGTTCTGTAGCCTATGTGGTCACATTTTCTGTATCTAGATGGAGCATTATTGCTAGGCAGAAGTTCTTCAGTTGAACAGTGCCTGCTGTTACGGGTCTCAACCACGTTATTTGAAAGCCCAAGTCAGAGAGAACTTGTGACTTCGAAGTTATATGTAAGCAGTCTGTGTAGGCCCAATTAATAAATCTGTTTGGGCAGTATGTTTGCCCTGAGGAGCTACTGGAGAGCAGAGGCTGATACAGCACTAGATATATCAGTTTATGATGTAATGCTAAGAGTCTGACACCCAATATCCTTGCTATAGTTGAGTGAAGTATGACAACCTTATCCCACTTTTTTTGCTAGATTAGCTTTGTATACTAAGCAGCCTGCACTGTTAACTGGTTTTTGTGTTGCGCAGGCACTAGGATACCTACCCCTGAGATGGGAATTCCTTCCCTGGATTCCTTTGGTTTTGTAGCTGTCTTTTTTTTTTTTTTTTCCCCAGCCAGCTCACTTGGTGGGATTATGCTAGAGATGAGAGAGGCTTTCCCATGGTGCTGATTAGTCAGATCTTAATGCTGTCTCAGGTGAGGTATGTTAGGGTTTTTCTGCTATCTGGGGACCTCACAAGTGATACTTTAATACAACTAGGAGTGAAGGAGAATGATAGGTCATGTGAGACAGTGTGGAGGAGAATTAGCTGGAGGGAGTTGAAAGAATAGAGGATTCAACAGTAACACTTTAGGGCAAAGGTAAGTGAGAACACAAGACAGTAGCCATGGGGTGGAAATACCCTTCTTGCTGCTTGTGTTGACTTGAAGCTTCTCCTTTCAGAGCTAGCATTGGTTGCAGGATGTCCTACTGGGGACACTAGCTTCATCATTTCCTTTTTAATGTCAATTTTGTTCAGCACTACTACTCTAGTGATGAAACATTTCTTTTGATCAATATAAAATGTGGCACACTTCAGTTTTCTTTTGGACTCAGCTTTTACTATGAAATGGCATGTTGCTAAAATCATTAAAATTTGTAAAGCCCTCTTTTGGAGAATGCTGTATAACTGGTCATTACTTAATGTGCCAGCTTCCCTTTAGAAAGATAGGAAGATTAGAATTATTTGATGCATTTTTGTCACAACTTCTTGTGAAGTGATACTTCAGTCTTCTCAAAGGATTTTACTACCTGGCTATTTTTGATAGGCTGAAGAGAATAGAATAGGGAAGTGATTTGACAAGTTTATTTTTTTTAAACTACTTCCCCTGAAAACAAAGCTAGTGCTCTCCATTTAGGGATTGGGAAAGTGCTGTTCAGAGACTCCCTGACACACCAGAAACTTAGAAGCTCTGTGTTAAAGGAGGGCCACAGGTGACTCGGTGTTCAGGTCAGGGTGCTGAGTGAAGAACATGTCCATACCTCTCCAGAGACACCTAATTAACATGGAGCAGGTTGTAGCTAGTTGCCACCTTTGTTACTGTCAAGGCTTTAAGGATTGCAGCCACATGCTCCTCTGCTCACAGTGCACAATCCATGCCAGGGTTTCCAGACTGTATGGATGTACTGAGGTTAGCAGAATATCCTTTGCAGAACCATGGGGAATGCACTTGAGCCATACATTTTCCAGCCTATTTCACTTAAGTGTATAAAAGCAGTTCGCAAGAGAATGTTTTTGTTGTACTGAGTAAAAGGAGAAAGTGAGGAACAAACTTACTTTTCCTAGAGTGTGTTAATGGAAACATTTGAGCTAAAACTCTTGTTCTCGAGTCTTCTGCACAATGACCGAATGCAGATTTGTTTAGTATTATTTTGTTTTAGCTGAAGGATGATGTGCTACGTATACCTTTTCCCACCCTGTTAGAGCTTCTTTGATCGTGCTTTTTGACACAGCTGAATCTAGGCATCTGTGCATGCAAGTTGTGAGCCTTGCAGTAAATATGTCAGAAAAGCCCAAGAGTGGTGCTGTCATTTGATGGTGGAAGTTAGTCTGGCCTGACACACTTAAAGCCTGTGTCAGAAATGTCTATATTCAGCTGTTTACCGAACAAGAGATTTAGGGTATGGCTGT